ATTCGGTCTCCCAATTTCACCCGCCAAGTCCACAAATCCGTCCAAATCACGGCACCTATGCCTCGCCACATCACAGCACACTATAGTCCACTAAACCTTGATCAAATCGTCACTCTCGGTCACCAAATACACCGCAAAATCAGCCCTTAACAGCCTCCACCATCTAACCCCTAAAATACCCTAATTTAACCCCTAAAACTCGTCTAGAAACGCACGAAAGCCTAACTAGAGTTTAGGGTCGAACTCACCTGGATTTCTAGGCTCCAAATAGGGCTGGGCAAGTGTCAACGGCAGCTGGACAGCAGCGGTCCTGCGCCGGAACAGTAACGGCGGCGGCGGCTCCGGCGAACGGTGCGAGCGGCGGCGACGGTCTAGGCAATTCCACGGCCTAGATGGACACGGCCAGAGAGAGAGAGAGAGGTGGGACGGCTGGACGGCTGGGCGAGGTGGTGGATCCGGGCCGGAATAGTAACGGCGGCGGTGGAGCTCCTCCGGCGAGGTCCTTGAGCGGCCGAGAAGGAGAGGGGGAGCGGGAGAGAGGGAGATGGAGGCTGAGGGGGGGACGGAATGGTGATGGTGGCGACGAACTGGTGGAGGCGACGGCGACCGGAACGGCGGCGTGCGGCGGTCGCGGGCGAGGCAGGACAGGGGAGGAGTCGAGCGAAGAAAAACAGGGGAAGGGAAGAAGATAGGGGGGTCGCGGCAGCAATGGCGCGGCCGGCGGCGGTGTGGCGGCTGGGCGAGCGGCGGCGCAGCTCGGTCGGAACGACGGCGGCGCGAGGCGGTCGGCGAGGTGCGGCCAGGCGGAGGAAGAAGCAGAAGCAGGAGTCGGGGCGAAGAGACGAAGAAGAAGAGGAAGGGAAGAGGAAGAAAAAGAAAAGAAAAGAAAAGAAAAGAAAAGAAAGGAAGAGAGAGGGAGGAGGAAACGTGAGCGGGAATTGGGGGAGGGGATGTTTACGTGCACGGCAGATGTGCGCAGACACGGCAGAGGGAGGAGAGAGAGAGAGAGAGAGAGAGAGAGAGGGGGAATAAATTTAAATGTTCAATCAAATAAATAATGCAATTCAACGACCCATAATTAAAACCGACAACGTTCCGACGGTCCAAATTAGTCCTAGAATATAATAAGGGACAAAGGCCAAGTTAATTAAATCAACTACCACGAGAGAGGTCTACTAGTCCAAATTCGCACCCGGTCAAAAAGTCCCATTTTTCCATTATTCCTAACAATCTCAACGCTGGCCACAACAATATCGACACCGTCCAATTTATTTCGTCCCGAAACTTCCGAAAATCGACTGCCAAGTTCGGGGTCTAAATAACGACCAAATTCGATCGAGTGCGATTCTAGCGAAATCTCTAATTTAAAAATAATAACCGAGAGTGATCAGTTCCCGGGCGAGATTTTACTATAAGCACACTGACAAATTACACGTTTTATAAATCCCAAAAATGGGCCGAAATTCGGAATGTCACAGACTCCACCAGTTCATCCAACTTTTCTGCCAGTCGGCCCAAGGATGTGGAAGCGGAGGTGACAAAGGTTTCACAACGAGAATCCATCGAGAGGTCCATCTCGATTTCATCCTTTTCGGGGCAAGGAACTCCTCGCCTCAGTCTTTTCTCCGCTCCCCGGATCCGATCAACAATCGGCTCTCGGTATTTGTTAAGACGCTCTTGGGAAGAGTGAAGTTGGCCATACACATCATAAAGTGTGTTGTACACCACATCAGCATGCTCGACCTCCTCCTTGATGCTCTCGGACAAACATTCCCTAACGAAATACGCACGGATGGCCTTCTCATTGTCCTGGAACTGGGACACCCCGTGCTCGAAGACGGTCACAAATTCCTTATAGTCAGCGAGGAAATGATGATCGAAGGGCAGGTCGTCGGGTCTCCCCTTGCGAATCAGCTTCTCGACCTTGGCTACCGCCTGGGGCTTGAGGACTAGAACAACGTAGGTTAGGCTCAAGTAGGAGATGATCTCCTTCCATAAGGCCTTGAACTTGCGAGCACTCAAGGTTGGTGATGAAGCATTGGATTCCATCGACGATCGGCACAATAAAAGAAAGAAGATTTCTCTAGAGGATAAGGGGTTAAAATTCAAAGTCAAGTGGTGAAGTCTTGATCACAATAGGCCTACTATTTATAGCCCGCAACTGGAGTCTCGAATCGTCACGAATCGGTACGAGAAAATTGACTGACGTGACGAATATCTCGGTGGGCATGCTCATATCTGATTGATTAGCCCAAGATACATGGATTGGAACATTGCGAGTAGTGGGTATTTATTCCTTGAAGGTTACGAAGCGAGTTCAGGGAAAAACGTGCCGATAATTACTCTTAGCCATTCGATGATTTACACGTGTACCGATGGGATTCAACTACTACTCAGATGGATGTCCATACGACAGCAGAAGTAAATCACACCGATATAAAGTGATTACGCATCATACTGATTCATTAAATGCAAGTACAGAAGATTGTACACAGACGTCTTTTCGAGAGCATAAAGAGAGGGTAGTTCAGTCAATAATACCATACAGGTCATCAAGGCAAGCGCAGACTATGATTATTCAGATAATATTCAAGGAAAAAAGAAACAATTGCTGGAAGAGGACCAGAAAGTGATGGCGAAGCCCAATAACCCACGTTCCAGGTCATAAGATGACATACTAACCTCAAGAGCGATGTCGATTCCAGCAGCTGTCCATAAAAGTCGAGTTTCTTGGTCAGCCTTCAACCGAATAAACCATTCATGAAAATCCTCTTCGTAAGTAGGGAAACCTCGAAATCGAGAAGACCCGGTGGACTACACATCCGTAATAGAAGAATGTTGCAGTGCCAAAGTCTCACTGTGTTTATACGGGAAATGGAATTGGAGATTCACAGGTATATTGAGATGGTCCATGAAACTGGGGCCTAGAGAGAAACAGTTGCATTCATGCTCGACAGCTTTCAGTAAATGAAAAAAGCAATTACCAGCGCGCGGATCGTCTTTAAACTTATCAAAAGCTGCGATGTAATCGCTAGCTGAATATTCAGACTTTTTGGACGCCATAAGAAGCGATGGATCAAGATCGAAAAAGGGTTCAAGAAAGGATTTTTAGGGTTGGAGAAGAAGACGCGACGATGAAACAAGGTTTTTACAAGAATAAAAGACGAAGAAGACGATTTGAAAAGTCACAACTGTTCGGGGAAGATATGAGGTGATGTGTCCAACAGGTATTGGGTGAAGAATTCGTAGGGACTGCTCGAAAGGACGTCAAAGGACAGAAAAGCATGATCATCGCCTAGGGATTCGTACACAGACAAGGTACACCTTTAAAAGAAATAAATTCAAATTTATTCCTTTTAAAAGGGGGCATATGTTGACACCCAAAATTATCCCTGGTGGAAGTGGGCCATTTACAAGTTACAAAAGATATAAAGTACGGCCCACATAGCGAAAATCCAAAAAGGCTGCAAGTCAGGCCTAGAGGCATTAAGAAGACCTAAGATAATTGTCGATAAGTCACGTTATAGAGGTGTCGACAAGTTCAAAATCACGAGCCTTGCACGCGACATCGACAAGTTCAAGATCTTGAGCCTTGCACGTGATGTCGACAAATCCAAAATCACGAGCTTTGCACGTGACGTCGACAAATCCAAGACCACAAGCTTTGCACGTGATGTCGACGAATCCAAGATCACGAGCTTTGCAAATGACGTCGACGAATCCAAGATCACGAGGTTTGCACGGAATCATGGTAATACGTGACCGAAAATTCATTTACACGTGTCAAAAGGTAAAGATATGACCATGGGCGTGAAGATCAAGGAAGAAATAAAGAGACACGTGGAAGAAAATTAGCTACTACGTGATGCCCAAGGAGCGTAAGCAACATCGATAAGTTAGGAAGCGGTTAAAACGCGAAACGTAAGGAAGTGGAAAACGACTTTCAAGGAGAAGTGCGATCAACAGTTATCAAGCTGCTCTATAAATACTCAAGGATTTCCAATGAAGAAAGGACCTTTCGCAAACAACACAACATATCTTTTATCAAGCTTTACTTTTAGCATATTAGGAGTAGTTTTAGCTGTAATTTTCAGATTCTGCGTCTTAGATTCAATTCCGGCAAGAGTCTTTATCAGGTTCAACATTGTTGATTAAATTCCAATGTTGTGCCATTAGTTCAGCGTCGTCGATTAAATTCCGGCGTTGTGCTTGGAATATAGCTGTTGATTAGATTCCAGTCATATTCTCTCAAGTTACGTCATTGATTAGATTCTGGCGTACCGTAAATGGAAATACCGCATATTAGCTGTGTCGTTGATTAGATTCCGACATAGCTTGGTCTCGATATTTGCAAGTTGTCGTTTCATTGATTAGTATTGTCGAGTTTGGTATCATATCGAGTCAGGGTGTAAGATCTAAATTTGGATTAATAAACGCATTTGACATTCTCTGTCCAAGCTTGACTTAAGACCCTGGTCTCCTCTAATAAAATCTGAAACGCAGCGTTCGGTGAAAGATTTTCGACGGAATAAAACCGGCGAAACACTATCCAACTTTCCATTACTGTATCGATATGTCTATAAGCCTAAGAGGTTTCACGAGTAGTAAACATTTTTATCCTCCTTGATCAACGCCTGAGTTCAAATCACCACATTGGCACATTTTCTCTGTGCTACTCCTAGCAACATAAACCTGCATGTCCTCAGTAATTACCCCATGTTGGTGGGTTCGGCCAGAGGGGGGACTATCTCATCTAGTGGAGATTAGTTGGGTACTCAAAAAATTATGGGCTATCACATTGATATAAAGAAAAAACTCTTACATTATTTTGATAATTTCTTTTGTGAGAATGCACATTGATATAAACAGTTTGACCTCACTTTATATTTGTTTGCTTTTCTTAAGCCTCCACTTGCATTTTTTGCTATTGTCATATACAAGCACACACTGGATCCAGCATATACTCCACATCGGTTTATGAGAGAGTGAGAGAGTCTAACCTGGTCAAGTGGGGAAGTATTAGCCATGGTCAACTTTCTACGGACAAGATGGCGAAATGAAGTTAAATCTCCAAATTTTTGCAGAGATTTGCAATCATCCGCCTGAAAAGAATTCAAAAGTGGTGGAAGCTCGGGAATCTCTCGTAATTGATGGCATTTTCTAACATTCAGCTGGCACAAATGATCACGCTTAGTGATGGATGTAGGAAGACTAGTAAAATTGTTCCTCTGCAGATATAACCTTTCCAAGAAGGGAAAATAGGAAAGATTCTCAAGAAACTCTACTTTGGACAAATTACATCCTAAGAGGTCTAAACTGTATAACTTTGGAAGTCCAGTCTTCATGCATGGATCAGCCGAGTCCTCGTACTTTGGAAACCCAATTAAATTGGTGCAAGAGCTAACTTCCAAGTGATGAAGGCTTTGTAGCTTATAAATGCTAGATGGAACATGTTCCAGGTTCTTGCAATTTTGTATGTACATTTGGTTCAAAGAGACAAGATTTTCTATTGATGTAGGAAGTCCTTTAATAGCGGTCGTTTGTAAATAAAGCTCTTTCAAGCCTTCGAGTTTATGTGGAATATCAGGGAATCTTTCAAATTTTGTGCATTTTTCAAGATGGAGACGTCGGAGATTTTTTGACTTCAGCTCATTTGGAAAAACTCTAAGTTCAAGGCACTCCCTTAAATCCAACACCTGTAACTTGTCATGATATGCAATGGACTCATGGGCTTCTACCAAGCTTTTGCAATTATGCATATACAATTCCTCGAGATTTGGAGTAAACGAGAGGTCAGGCATGCAAACCAGCGACTCGCAGTAACTGAAATTCATGTACTTCAAATTTTGGAAGCCCTGCAAAAACAGCAAAACCAGCTTTGATAAACATTCTGAAAGGGAAAAAAGGGGTGTTTTTATGATGATGTTCATTCCTTACATTTAAACCGTCGAATTCCCGTTTGAGAATAGGTTGCTATTGAGGCATATCAGGTGTTGGTCTTTCAAGAGATTATTATATTTTAGGCCATCAATCGTAAATTTTGAGCAATTTGTTTATTTAACGTAGAGGTGATATGTTGCAAAGTCCACAAATAGGCCTATACTAGCTGTTGTACATAGACGGGGAAGTCAAACTCATGAAATGATGGTAATTTAATATCGGATATCATTCACGTTGTCCATGGTTTTATATGTTGATCATTAATAATATCATAATTTATTTGTAGGGGCTTAGTGTGACATCCCGAATTTCGGCCCATTTTTGGGATTTATAAAACGCGTAATTTGTCAGTGTGCTTATAGTAAAATCTCGCCCGGGAACTGATCACTCCCGGTTATCATTTTAAATTAGAGATTTCGCTAGAATCGCACTCGATCAAATTTGGCCGTTATTTAGACCCCAGACTTCGCAGTCGATTTTCGGGAGTGTCGGGACGAAATAAATTGGACGGTGTCGATATGGTCGGGGCCAACGTTGAGATTGTCAGGAATGATGGAAAAAGGGGAGTTTTTGATCAGGTGCAAATTTGGACTAGTAGACCTCCCTCGTTATGATTTGGTCTAATTAATTTGGCCTTTGTCCCTTTTTATGTGCGAGGCTTATTTTGGACCGGTAGACCACTTTCGATTTTTAATTTGGGCCATCGGATCGCGATTAATATTTGAATGAAGTTTAATTTCTTTTATTTCTCTCTCTCTCTCCCTCTCTCTCTCTCTCTCTCTCTCTCTCCTCTGCAAGCCCGTCCCCTCCGGTCACGTTTCCCCTCTCTGCGGACGTCCCTCAACACCACCCCACCTACTCTCTCTCTCTCTCTCTTCTTTTCTTTTCTTTCTTTCTTTTTCCTTTCTTCCTCTGTTCTTCTTCTTCTTCCTCCTTCTTCGCCCGCGACTGGTTCTACTCCGTTCTGCCCAGTCGCCGTCCGCCGCTCGGCCGCCCTCCGCCTCCGCCCGACGCTACTCCACCAGTCGCCGCCGCCAGCAAGCCCGACCACCGTCGCGTTGGACCACCGGCCGCCGCCCCGGCCGTTCCCTTTCTCTCCCTCACGCGCGCGTGACGGCAAGCCGTCGGCTAGCGCCCTCCGCCTCGGCACAGGCGTGCCGCGCCGTCGCCGCCAGCTCGACCGTGCGTCGCGCCGACCGTGGGCCGCCGTTCCCTCTCTCGGCCGGCGGCCTTCCACCCACGGCCATCACTCCCCCTCTCTTTCTCTTGTTTGGCCGTGGGGAGCACCTCACCGGAGGAGCCGCCGCCGCCGCCGGAGCCGTCGCCGGGAACCACCATCCCACGCCTCACCAGCCTCACCAGTCCGTCCTCTCTCTCTCTCCCGACCGCCGCGACCAGCCACCCCTCCGCCTAGACTCGCGCCGTTCGCCGGAACCGCCGCTGCGATTCTTGTTCCAGCGGCGTCGCCGCTGTCCAGCCGCCATTGCCGCGTGTTCGGCACGGTTTGAAGCTTAGGACACCCGGTGAGTTTGACCCTAAACCCTAATTAGGCCAATTTGCATTTCTAGACGGGTTTTAGGGGTTAATTAGGGTAATTAGGGGCTAAATGGTGGCTGCTGTTAGGGGCTGATTTTGTGGCGTTTTTGGTGACCAAGGATGATTATTTGGTCGAGGTTTAGTGACTGGTATAGTGTTGTGATGTGGCGAAGCGTAGGTGTCGGGATTTGGACAAAATGGTGGACTTGGGGAAATGAAATTAATAACCCGTGTTGTGGCTGATCTTGTGGCTATTTTACGGGCTTAGTGTGATAATTTAATTGAGGTTTGGTGGCCCGTATAGTGCTGTGCGGTGGCTGGGCATAGGCGCCTTAATTTGGGCGAAAATGTGAATTTGGCGGGTGCAAATTGAGGACCGAGTGGAGGCCGCTAGGGGCTGATTTTGTGGCCCGTTTGGTGACCGAGAATGATGATTTAATTGAGGTTTAGTGGACTATAGTGTGCTGTGATGTGGCGAGGCATAGGTGCCGTGATTTGGACGGAATTGTGGATTTAGCGGGTGAAATTGGGAGACCGAATGGTGGCTGTCTTGGTGGCTATTTTACGGACTTAGTGCGACAATTTAGTTGAGATTTAGTGACCCGCGAGGTGCCGTGAGATGGCTGGACAGATTGGTTCGGAGCGGTCCAAGTTTGGAGTAAGTTCGGGCTTTAAATATGGATTTTAGTGCGCGCCTCATTTGATCTTTGTGGTGGCTGATTAGAATGATGGTTTGGGGAGTTTAATGGGGCATTTTGAAGATATTTATTGGCCCAGACATTGCGGTATAGTGGCTGGCCACGACAGGATTTGATTTAGGCGAGGCGTGATCAATTTGAAGTTTAATTGTGCAATTACCGGGAATGATCGCATTGATCAATTGACTAGCTAAATGAGCCTTGTTGAGATTAATTTTAGGATGCCATGTTGCTTGTTTAGCGGGACTAAGAATGGAATAGCTTGGCGGGCCTCGAATGCGAGGGTTCTTGTTATCCCGGTTATGTGGATTGTGCATCGATTGTGTGTCAAGTTGATGCCATGGCTGATTTGAATTGATTGTCTGATTGGGCTTGTTGATTTATGAAATTGAATATGCGTGGTGCAAGTGCGCATGATTGCATCGTGATTTGAGTAAGTGGTGCGGTGCAAGTGAATGCCCGAGTGTGAAGTTTATGGCCATGAGTTTGCATCACGAGCATTGGCACGGCATGTGCATTTACAAGTGTGCTCGAGTGACATATGCATTGTGATCACCTAAAATGCCCTGATGCGTTTAACGCGGGGTTCAGATGAAAATTGGTGCTTGTGAATGTGTGATCACAATAAACCCTGATGCGTTTTACGCGGGGTAGTGAACCCGTCCTGAGGCGTTTAACGCGGGACGATGCCCGGATTGCCGGAAGACGGCCAACCTGATGCGTTTACGCGGGTTCGGTCCGTATATGGAGATCGGTGTTGCGCCTGATGCGTTTACGCGGGCTAGAGACACTGGGCCTGATGCGTTTACGCGGGCTAGGAAGTGTTGGATAGTGATAGACCTGATGCGTTTTACGCGGGTCGGACCTGATGCGTTTAACGCGGGTCGGAGGAGAAATTGATAAATGGCAAGTATGCTAGAGTGCAAGCGTGCGAAAATGCATTGATGAGGCTTGAGCACGCGTGTGAGCACGAACATAAGCATGACATGCGTTGTGATCAAATGATGTGTACGTGTGCTGCGATTGGGTCCTATGTTTTATGCTTGAACTGTAAGTGCCTAACCTGCAGGGCAAGGTGAGTGTTGGATTTGGGCCCGAGGGCCTAAGTCAATTATTATTTGCTTGGTGTGTTGATTTAGTACTCGTCAGGAGGTGCACTTTAGCCTAATTTAGGTTTAGGGAATTACTCGCTGAGATTTATTCTCACTGTTGTTGAAACCCAATTTTTCAGACCCCCAGCCTTGAGGATGCCAGGCGTATTGAAATGTTTTGGGAGGAGCCCCGGCTAGATATAGTGTTTGATCGCCGAGCCACGTACCCGCTTTTGACTTTTGAGTGTGGGCTGTATATGAATATTATATATGTTTCCCAATGTCAAAGCAAGGGTATATTTATCCGTGCTGGTTGTTGTATGGCTATCCTTGGTCAGGTGTATTTTAATGTACGGGTGGTTTTAATTACTTCCGCATGTGCTTTAAATCTCTGTGTTGGGTGTTGGGTCGGCGACGCGTCCTGGGACGTCGCACACGAATCGACCTTTGCGAGGGATGTGGCGCGCCGAGGAGTGCGGGGCGTGACATCCCCGTTTGATTTGGTATCAGAGCAAGGTCAGCTCGGTCCAATTAGGTCGAAGCTTGGAGTGATAAGGAGCGGTGACCTTGGGTAGCCAGTAGGGTGACCTCGTGTGCTATGTGTACCTCCTGACTGCTTGTGTTTGATTGAGTGCTTGTTTTAGTTGATCGTAAAGTGCAGGTGCGGCAGGACCCGAGGTAAGTACGCGAATCTCCTTGGGTGAGATGTTGTGCTGTTTGTGTAAGGCCGCATGCTGGTTGCTTGACTGCTGTTGTGTATACCTGCCTAGGACCTTAGACCGGTTTAGCTTGGTTTAGGTCTCTAATTCCTGAATGGAATTATAGCAGGCAAGTGAGTGGTGTGACCCTGTGAGTTTGAGCGGTCGAGGTCGAGGTCGTGTAAGTCCGCAAGCTGGAGTTGCAGAGGATCTCAGAGTGGATGGAATTCTGAAGACACATGAGGAGGTTGGAATTTTAATGGGAATGATGGGAACCAAGATTGAGAGTAAGTTAATGCAGTCAAACAGACGCAATAGCTAGTTGAGCAATTTTCGAAATTGAAACCTCCGCAGTTTGATGGGAAAAGTGACTCCGAGGCTACATCACTTTGGATATAAGGGTTGGAAAAAGGCTTCGCAGTGTTGGGGGATGCTTTGGTATGGGACTTCAATGGGAAGTAATTTTCGGAGAGTGCACAAGAACAGAAAAAGACAGAGTTCCTCCTGGATGTCAGTCGATCAATACGAGGTCAAGTTTGTAAGAATACCTAAGTACGCACCAAGGATGGTCAAGGACCATGTGGATAGGACAAAGAGGTTCAGGGATGGATTGAAATCGGAACTTGGCAATCAGTTAGTGCTCTCGAGTCTTAAGGGATTTCAATGAGCTGTGTGAGAGGACTCGATGGGTGAAATGGATATGAGTGAAATGGCTGCCGTTTCGGGACCATGGTACACGCCGGTTAGGGACAATAGGAACTTGGGAAAAAGGTCTATGACAGAGAATATGAGACTTGTCCCTCCGGTAAGGAAGAACCTTAGAGAGCCAAACTACTACTTCGACGCCGTATGTCGGTCTTATGGAAAGAGACATAAGAATAGTCATTGTCAA